GAGATCCGCCCAACTTTGAATGGCGTTGGACGGTAGGTGCTCCAACCACGCTCGTGCCGAATCGGCCAAGAATAGCGGGAGATTGCGAATAATGAAATTGTCATCACTCGCACCACCGGCTTGGCAGGCAAGTCGATAGTCTTTGAGCCAAAGCCCGGGGTTTGATTCTCCAGAATATTTTAGGATATTGGTGGGCGGTCGGTACCTCGAGGGGGGGGGACGCAGCGTTGAGGATGTGTCGACCGAAGGCCCGAGGGCCTGGCAGGCTAGGACTCGGGCTCCAGTCCTCGCCGCTGACGTAGCGTCCACCGCGTCGAGGATAATAGCCACGACGGGCCCCTTCTCTTTCGTCACCGTGGGTGCGCCTGCGGGCGTCGATGGTGGTGCACATGTCACGGTTGTGGCCAAGACGTTGATGTACCAGGATAGCGGAGCGCTGCCGGTTGCTTGGCGGCGTCTGGTGAACGGATGCGTCCTTGGCAGGACGTATCGAGGGCGTGTGCTGGCTGGTGTCGGGTTCGCGTCATCGAGACAACGAGCTTTCCGCTTGCTGCGCCGCCGCACGCTCGAGTAACATGTGAATTTCTCGACAGGCACGGTGATCCTCGGAGTCACGGCCTCCGGAAGGCCGTGCAGCAAGGTCGTCGCTGCGGCGATGTTCTGGCTTGCCCGAGCGAAGTGAGGGAGAGTCCCATCATCGGTGAGGATCCTCCGATGCACATCATGGGCCGAGGCACGTGCGTGCCCACCGTCTCCGCGACGCTTGATCTCCTCCTCGATGTTTCGGTACTCCCGGACAAGCTGTTGCCTGGCGTCATCGATCTCCAGCTTTCGTGCTCTTAGCTGCTCCATCCTTATGTGAGATGGAGCCACCGTCTCTGCCTTGATCCTGGCGTCGGGGTTGCCTGTTGGGTTGTTTCTTCTCCGGAGACGCTTTGGACGTGTCCCTCGGGGGTTTGCGTCATGAAGCATTCCCGAGAAGGGTGATGGCTCCCCTTGCTGGAGTCAGAGCTGGAGGATGACTCTGGTTCCTCCACGAGGAGCCCATAGAGTGTCTCCGGATCGTGTTCGATTACCCCCATGAACTCACTATCCGAGGCGGTTGAACCATGTGTAGTGCTAGAAGGTGGCCGGCGGTCGCCGCGACGTTGTGGAGACCAAATGGAAACGCTGTCGGGGCGCTTCATATGGGGCCTTCCGGAAACAGGGTGATGCTGCATGGGGGCTCCTGGATAACTGGGGTCCAAGGGAGTCGCCCCGCGGGCCCTCAAGCCTCAGACGGCTGAGGTTGATGGAAGGGAGAGACTGTGCGGCCGTGTGGGTCAGCGCCAGTTCTCCTCCTAGTGTGACGATGAAATCTAGGTCGCCGAAACGCACATGTGCGCCCGGGGCCCAGCTGATTGCGTGGGTGGCCATCCGAGGCCTGATTTAGAACGCGCAAGCCCCCTACCTAGCGCGCCAACTGTCCGTGTTTCGTACAAGCACCGGCAAGTAAATTTATAGTAATGCGCGTTAGGCTCGGATGGTGCGCTAAAAGACACAAGATTTATACTGGTTCGGGCTAAATATCCCTACGTCCAGTTTGTTGCTGCTCGTGTTATTAGCACCGTGAATGGTTCGTAGTAGGGGATACAAACGATCGAGAGAGGGACAGGTCCTAAGTCTCTGATGGAAGGGTCGAAAGGAAGCCAAGAGGTTGGTAGCAACTTGACTATGTGTGTGTGTGTTGCGTTGTTTTTTGTCTCCCCCTTGCTGGAGGAAGCGCATCCCCTTTTATAGATGAAGGGGACGGCTTTACAAGGGTCAGGGCTTAGGATGCGTGCTCTACCTAGCCTTGTGGCTCACTTCTACCCAGCCTCATTACCCATTCTGATGGGTGTGAAAGGATGATAAGCGCCTACAATACTGTCGATGCTTCTGTAGAATGTCAGGATGGTTACAGAATAGTGCCCTGCGCAGGGTATGGGCTGTAGTACAGTGGTTTTGACTTATGAACCTCGCCCAGCCTTGCTCCGCACGCCTTCTGGCTCCTATGAGTCTCTATCGGAGGGACGCGGAGTCGAGGTCCGGAGCAGCGCTGTGGGCAAGGTCCTTTGATTTGGTGGACCCGAGGGGTCGGGAAGCGGGCGCCGCTCCCTTGGGTCCATAACGTGGTGACGGCATGTCCGTCATTCGTGGAGATCACAAATCCTTTTCTGGAGTGTAGTGGTTGTCGTGTATCTTCGTCGGGTTCTGTGTCCTAGAGCTGAAGGCGGCGCCTACAACTCTACAGGGCGAGGAGTACGCGCCTGCCATACCTTTTGGGCTCTGCGGCGCCCGGGAGGGTCTAAAGCACCTGTCTAGTCGTTCCCTGGCAGTATCTTTCCTGCCGGGGCGTAGGGTATGGTCCTTGAAGCCGTGGTTGACCCGAATGTCTTGTCTTGCTCTGTACCCATCATCATGAGGGAACGGGAGAGAAGTTATCAGGTAAGATGAAACCAGTCTTTGGACATCGAATGGGGCGAGGTTCGTCCTCGGTAGTCGGGTGAGGCAGAGCCCAGTCCTTATCCCTTGGGCGTGACCGAGCCCACCCCTCGGGGGTCGGGCGAGGCGGAGTGTATCCCTCAACCCTCGGGCGAGGCGGAGACTAGCCTTCAGCCCTCGGGTGAGGAGGAGCTATCCCGAAGGCGTCGGGCGGAACGGAGGCCAGCCCTTTTCCCTCGAGCGAGGCGGGGCTGGCCCAAAGGCGTCGGGCGAGACGGAGGCCAGCCCTTTGCCCTCGGGCGAGGCAGGGCTGGCCCAAAGGCGTCAGGCGAGACAGAATCTAACTTTCGTCATTCAGGCAAGGAACGCAGCGGCACCCTTGTCCGTCTAGAAGTTTTTAACGTTCGATGGTTATTGGTTCCACCTTCTAGGATACCCTGGTATTAGGTCCCCAACACATAGCTACTGATTCCTCGTATATGAACTACAAGGAGGACACATGGAGACACTGAGAGGGCTGGGAGGGGTGCGATGAAGCAATGGATGGCACATGCTTATATAGGCAAGAGTTGGAGGACGAACGGGCGCCTCTGCATGCATGGGTGCAGATGCAAGTATGGTAGCCGTATTAATGGAGACAAACCCCAACCACGGACCACCTCGGCAGCAACGTGCACACAACCCAAGCTGCCTCTTAGATGCATGGATGCATGTGTAAGTATAAATGTTCCTGTATGGTCGGTGAATTATTTTTATCTTATGGTAAGAAGGAGAGGCATTAAATGTGTCCACCTAGTCGACTTGTTTTTATCTGATGGTAGCATGAAGGGGAGGCATTAAATGTGTCCACCTGCTTTCGACCCATCTTGCGTAGGTGAAGATATCGAGTGCTTTCAAATTTACTGAGTGAATTTCTGAATATCTTAGGGAGGCACTCGTGCATGCATGAAAATTTACTGTCTAGTATCTATTGGTAGTAAATTCATTAATGTAGAGGAAGAAGGCACATGTGATGTAAATTCCTCATGTCATAGTAACTTTTTTTATGTAAAGGACACGTGAAAGCACAGTGATGTAAATCCTCGTACCATAGTAACTTTTTATATGCAAAGTACACCTACAGGGAAGCAAGCAAGCAAGGCCCAAAATGCATGCAAAGTACACAAACAGATAGCTCATGCATGCATGCAAAGCAAGCAAGGCCCCAGCAGCATACACGCACGCGTACTCGCATGCGTGCCGACCACCATGCTAATTAGCCACCGGCCATGCATGCCGAGAATCCACCGTCCCCTGCTACGCATCACCGTCTATTTGCGTGCCGCATACAATCACCAGGGAAGCCCTACCTCATTGAATGCGTCCACTTGCTTCATCTATCCACTACCGAATGCACCGAGGAAGACCGGTTGTGACGCGCTTTATCTGAGTCGTAGAATTTCCATCTAACGCACCAATTAAATAGAACGTACATAGACACCTTGGGAGGCCGCCGATTCGGCGTGCCTTTATATCTCTAATGTATATGTATGATAGGATGGTCCAGCCCACAGCTGTAATCCCGTAGACTTCCTATGGTGCTAAGTGCATTGTTTGATCAAACATACTACCTTAATTACAAAGATGCACAAGTCTTTTGCGTATTCCAGAAAAAAGATGTCTGCGTTTCTAGACAACAATTTTATAACAATTAAAAGGACCATAATATAAAATTTATTTCTTATTACAAGTTAGTTGAACAACAATAAAAAAATCAGGCACCTAAAAAATAACAGAAATGGATAACATATATACCTTTAGTGTGACTTGAGTTTACGGTAGCAAAATAACGGTGTCAATGTATAGCGCGTGTTCAGTTCCCAAAATACTTTAAAAAAGTGCTACAACACTTGTCACATCGAATCTTGCGATACGTGTATGGAGCAGTAAATGTAGACGAAAATAAAACTAATTGTACAGTTTGGTTGGAAATCGCGAGACGAACGTTTTGAGCCTAATTAGTCCATAATTGAACACTATTTGCCAAATAAAAACAAAAATGATACAGTACCTAAATTCTAACTTTCCCTCCAACTAAACACAGCCATAACGTATATACCTTTGGTGTGCCTAAACCTAGTAGCTAACTGATGTGACACGATGATTGCGTGCAGGCGTGCACTCCATCGGCGTCTGCTCCAGCAGCGACGTGGTTCAGCTCTATAGGTCCAAGGGCATCAACGGCATGTGCATCTACTCCCCCAACGCCAACGCGCTCAACGCCCTGCGCAACTCAGGCATCGTCCTTGTGCTCAACACCGGCAACGGCGACGAGCTTAGCCGGCTCGCTGGCAGTGCCTCGTACGTGGCGTCGTGGGTGCAGAGCAACGTGAAGCCCTACTACCCCGCGGTGAACATCAAGTACATCGCCGTGGGCAACGAGGTGCAGGGCGGCGCGACGCAGAGCATCCTCCCGGCGATGCGGAACCTGGACGGCGCCCTGTCGTGCGCGGGGCTGTCGGCCATCAAGTGCTCCACGTCGGTGCGCTTCGACGTGGTCACCAACTCCTACCCGCCCTCCAGCCGAGGCGGTCGATGCCAAGGCCCCTGGCCAGGAACAGCGGGTGCTCCTGCGAGTAGGTGCTACCGGTGCCGCCGCCGGCAAAGCTGAACTGGCCGAAGCGCAACTCCCACTCCACCTCGTACGCGTCCTCCTTGTCCTCATCCTCTTCGTCGTCGGTGGATGCCTGCCGGCCCCTGAACGACTGGATGGTCTCGAGCGGCACCGGCCGCGCCCGGGGCGCGCCCTTGCCGGGCGGCGGGAGGAGGTGGTGGTGGTTGTCCGCGCGGCCGCCGGCCAGAGACGCGAGGTTGTCCTCAGAGCACGTGCGGCGCATGCCGGCGCGCGAGCGCTCGTGGTCGGACCCAGACCCGGGCCCTGCCAGGTGGCAGGAGATGGGCGCCGGGTGGTAGGCGGCCGCCGGCGACTCGGGGAAGTGGACGGCCGGTGAGGAGGCCGCCGGCGAGTGGCTGCCGGAGGGGAGCAGCGCGCCGAGGACCGGCGTGGAGGCGCTCCTCACGAGCATGGTGGGTGGGTGGATGGCTGTCGCTCGCTAGCCAAGGCTCCCTCGGCGCAACCACTGATCCTGATTGGGAGGCTGGAGCTTTGGTTGCAGAGGTGGGGTGGGGTGAGGTAAGCTTGCCGTGCGATGCTGCTGCTGCCGCATTGGCGCTGCGGCGTTTGCTGGTACCATAGCATGTGCTTGGGTTTTAATTGGGGCCCCGTGGTAGCTGCGGCACATCACCTGCATGCAGTAGTAATTTTTTTCATGCAAAGTACACTGCTACGCGCCTAATCAGCCGGGACATGCATGTCGAGAATCCATCATCTCCTGCTACGTGCCATCATCGATTTGTGTGCCGCGTACAATCACTAGGGACACTTACTTTATCTATCCACTATCAAATGCACAGAGCAAGACCGGTTGTGACGCGTTTCATCTGAGTCGTGGAATTTCTATCTAACGCACCAACTAAATAGAACGTACGTAGATAACCTGGGAGACCGCCGATTCGGCATGCCTTTATATCTAAATGTTTGTCGCCTCTTGTGTGGTAGAATTGGGCTAATTTCGACCCTGCTGCTTCTAGTTCTAGGGTATGTTTGCTTTGTTATCCATGGCCAATGACTAGAAATGAGTGTTTGGTTTTGTGACCAAACCGAAGTGAGGGTCATACCAAACGAGTATCAGTGTATGACATAATATGGCTCCTAGTCCTGTATGCCATTATTTCTCTTGTACGTTCAAATGTAGTCAACAAGAGTCTTGTTTGATAGAGCGAGTAACGCTACACATTGACTGTTTTGGTGATGTGATAATGGTTCAGAAGCTATAATTGTTCCATGCTTACTAAACCAAAGGGCAATGCATCATATGCAACCAATCAGAAGATGGCACATCGACAATGAGGAATTTGCCACCTATCCTATACAAAGACTTTGGCAGGTCTTTTTGGCCATGGCCAGAATTTGACCCCCAACCAAATGAATGATAGGTTAACTTTTAGTACGTTGTCAAACTTTGGCTTGGCTCACCAAACCAAACATGCCTCTACTGCAAAAGCCTATTATATATACTAGTACCTTCGAAGGCAAGTTGGTGGCTCTCCTCGTGGTACACATATCAATTAATCAATCAATCAAAGTTCTTTATCACTATAGTTTAATTTGCACACATAGGGCTCGTTCTGCTGGTCAGAGAACCAGCCGGATTTCACTGTTCCTAGATGAAAAATATTGTTCACGCTCTTACAAATTCCTCTAGATTCATCCAAATTCTTCAAAGCGAACATGGCCATAATGTGTCGGTGCGAAAAGTGATCAACAAGTAAATATTTATAGTTTTACCGTACGTTGTGATCGGATGTGGCCTAGCACTCAATGACACAGGGTTTATACTGGTTCATGCAACGTGCCCTACGTCCAGTTTGAGTCGGTCGGTGACTTTATTCCTGAGCCCAGTGCTCAAAGTTTGTTGTGGGGTTACAAACGAGTGGGAATAAGATGGGGTGTTAGAAGTCCAGTCGGACTCTGGGCTGAGTATGCTCTAAGTATTGGAATGTATGCTCTGTGTAGCTTTAGAGTTCTAGAGCCGTGGAGCCGTTTGAGTGCTCAGAATGTCTAAAGCTTAGCAGAGTGAGAGTCGAAAAAATGACCGTCGTCTGTTGGGAGAGAGTGCATCCCCTTTTATAGGTGAAGGGCATGACCTTACAAGTTTAGAGAGAGAGAGAGAGAAAGAGAGTATGTGTGCTACCTAATCTTGTTGCCCACGCCGTTGGGTACAAGACGGTTTGTTGGCGCCCACAATATTGTTGATGCTCGGATGCATGTGGCAGGCTCCATCGTGTTCTTCTGGTATGGCAAATGTTGGCGCCTACCATACTGTAGGACAAATGTCGGCGCCCAAGACACTATTCATATTCTGACATGTCTGGAAGGTTGCAAAGTACCCTTCTGGCATGGCTTGGCGATATTGTCCTGTAGGTGTGTAGGGTACGGTCCTCAGTATTGCGGTTGACTTGAGTGCCTTGCCTTATCTGCTCCGCCTGATTCTTGGGTCCTCACCAAGCAAGAGGCCCCGGTCGATCGTTCCAGTTGGCTCCATCGCCGCTGGTCGGAGAAGAGCTGTAAGAGAGGTTCGGTGTATTCTCGGTCGGAGAAGCGGGTCGAAGTCGGAAGCGGGCATCGTCCCCTCCTCGACAGGCCTTCCGGTCGAAAAAGCGGGTCGGAGTCGGAAGTGAGCGTCGTCCCCTCCTTGGCCAGGCCTTTCGGTCGGAGACTGGATCGCTCTTTCGACCTATCGTTAGGTATCTGGGCCGGCCTAGGAGTTGCGCGTCATTTGTAATGACGTCCGCTAGGCTGAGTTTTTGCCGGAAAGTGGGCCCATTAGGGACCCTAAATTTATGAACCCGATAGGAGCTCTCGAGCCTCCTAGCGATTCGGATAGAATCGTCTAGGGGATTTTTTGTTTTGCCAGTGGGTGCACGCGAGCGCACCCGATGGGTGTAGCCCCCGAGCCCCTAGGCGATTTGGGTAGAATCATCTGGGGGATTTTTTGTTTTGCCAGCAGGTGCGCGCGAGCGCACCCGGTGGGTGTAGCCCCCGAGCCTATGTCCGATTGGTGAGTCGGTTGGAGGCTGAGTATCTTGGTACTCTTTCCTGGGGCCGCAAACTCCTGTGTTTCTGCCGGTCGAGGTGTTCGCCCATGTTTGTCCCGTCCGTGACCTGCGCGGTCGGTTGGTTTCCCGAGTCGGTGTCGGGCGACCTAAGCCCCTAAGCCCCATTGGGTTTGGTAGGGGTTAGTCTAGTTCCGTGCATTACCTCGTCCATAGTTTTCACAACCGGAGGAGCTGAGCTAACATCGCTTGCCTCGATGGCTTGAGTGACACGCTCGGTGAGCTCACTAACGAGCATGTTCGAGCGGAATTCGGGTCCGTTGTTCATAACGGGGTCAACATAGCTCTCATGTGGCATTCCACTGCTCCTTAACCCACCTCCCCGTAGATGCCCAGGTCGTTCGGAGACCGACTCAGGTGACCCGCTGGCCTCCCCTCGATGGAGATTCTGTGGGCATGGCTTGAGGTTAGGATCGAATGAGAAGGTCGAGATGACCCTGTCTGCTTCGGCTTCGAGCATCTCGGGCGAGGGCCGCTGGGGCTCATCTGTGTTTTCTCGCCCAGCTCTATGTTGACATGAGGTGGCCTCGAGCCCTTCGTGGGCTGGCCTTCGAACCCGGTCGGTCGTTGCTCATGTTTGAATGAGGCAACTACCGCTTCATGACGCAACACGAAGCGTTGTGATGTATTAATTGCATATGCAATGCTTTGGATGTATTGGATGAATAAATGATTGTATGAATGAATGTGTGAATGCGTGTATGAGGAAGGATGAATGAATGATTATGCATTGGAAAAGAAAATAAAATAAAGTATGAATGTTTGGTAAAGATACCTTGATGACTCGAGTGGCGGGTTTGAGGAGCTCTTATCAGACATGTTCGAATGGGATTCGTGTCCGTCATTCGTGACGGAGTCGGCGTAGCCTACATGGGGCATCCCACTGCTCCTTACCTGTCTCTCGGTAGTCGCCTGAGCTGTTCAATTGACTCAGGTAGCCCATTGGTCTTTCCTCGATAGAGATCCTATTGGTGGGCCCTTCCAAACCCTGCCTAGGAAGGCGGAGGGTCATTTGCATGCGGTTGCGTCTTGTTTCCTACGCCTGGGTTGTGGTAGTGATGGGCCCAACCTAGGCCACGTCCTGTTTTAACCGGATGATGTTTTGTTGGGCAGGGTGTGTCCCATCAGTCAGGACGCATCCCACTGCATGCCTATCCACATTAAATAGGGGAAGGGAGAGGGTTTTCGTCCCATTCCTTCGCCTTTCTCCATCTGCTACCTCTCCTCCTTCTTCCTTCTCGCCAAGCCCGTTCATGCGCCGTGGTGGTTTCTAGGAGAGAGAGGGTAGAGCGAGGGAGAGAAGAACTCATAGATTTGTTCATGAATCCGAAGTGCGATGTTGAACTAGAGGCCATCCAACATAGACAAGGCAGTGCTAGCCGCCTTCACCGAGAAGGGGCGGCTCCCGCGCAAAGGAGGTGGCGCACTAGAGGGCTCTTGCGCCAGGGGAAGCTATTCCATGACCTCGGGCCAACGAGGTTGTCTCCTTCCTCGCTTTCCACGAGCGTGGGCTAGGATATCCCATGCACTGATTCTTGCGGGCTCCTCAACGAGTGGGGCCTAGAGCTACAGCACCTCAATCCGACTAGGGTGCTGCACATTGCCGGTTTTGTCACCGTCTGCAAGGCCTTCCTCGGGATAGAGCTGCACGTGGACCTCTTCCGGTGGATCTTCACCGGGCGAGCCTTATCGGAGGGGAAGCCACCCAGAACCTTGCCGGTTGAGGGCTTTCGCCTTGTAGAAGAAGCCAAGGCCGTCGAGCTACTACCACGTGTACTCCCCCTACGACTCCAATAGGGGGTGGCATGGGGAGTGATTCTACATTAGGAACTCAGTGGAGGCGCCATTCCTACCATTCACTGGAAGAAGGCCGGAGAGGCGGGAGAGCTGGTCGTGGGGTCCCTCCAGTCGGTAGAACAAGCTGGAGGTCATCGAGGCAGAGCTTCAAAAGCTGGTGCAGCATGGCCACGATGGGTTGCGGGTGTTCCATACCTTCTTTCGCCGTTGAGTCGCAATGCTGGCGGAGGAGGCGGCCGATGTGGGCCTACTCTGGCCCAACAGATCCCTACCGTGCATCGCTGAAGGAGTTGGTGAAGGACGAAGTCTGGAGTCGACTCGACCGGGTGCTGCAACTGAAGGACAAAGAGTCCCTTGAAGGAAAGCCCGGACCTCTTCACGCCACGAAGCTATCCAATCTGGTATGCTCCCCTTTTATTCCATGGCCTTTTTTCCCTTGCTCTCCTTTGTTTTGACTTCAAGTTGTCCGTTTCGTAGGGACTCACTGGTTACAAATCCCGTCCACATCTTCCGAGGGGGCTAGAGGGCGTGGCTCGGCAAGCTGCCCTGAAGG